AACATTTGTCTAAGTGTTAGAAAACATCTTAGCCCTCTCAAGTATATAGACTAACACTTAGTCACTTGAGAAAAAAATAATATCTAGGAATTATAGAAACTACAACAAGATTAATTGAGCTTGTTGCAAAACATAATGAACAACTGTAGCTATCTTCTCGAGACTTTTGACTGAAATCTAGTCTCTCAAAGTGTGTATACAAAGATACTTCTACACAAGCAGATTACACAAAATTTAAGCACAATAACACAAAAGTATTAATAGTATGATATGAACAAAAGCTCCTTGCTAATTTAAAAAACTTTATAATGTATATCTCAAAAGAGATTTTTTCAGCGTTTCAGCGTTTCAGCGTAAGTTTTGTAGAGTTGTTTCATTACAATCCAATTTTTCCAAGTCGTCCATTTATAGTTGAAAATAGGTCCGTTGGAGGGTAGAATGGGAAACAGAAATCCAGTTGTTTTATCCCTAACGGTCATTATGGGAGTGTTAGACAACATCGTATCAAAGGACTGTCATTGCGCCACCTTAGCAGGGTAAAGGTCACAATGTATCTTGTACTTTTATACTTATCATCTCATGCAGACCACTTTTTATCTTTATCTTCTATACATCAGAGGCTTCTCATGCATGTTGATGTAGCATGTAGTAGGAGGATCAAAACTTGAGCCGTCGGAACCTAAGTCTTCAGAGTCTTCAAAACTAGGTCCTCAGAAGTAATGTCTTCAAAATCTTCAGAACTTATTTAAAAGAACCTTATCTTTAAAGTCTTAAAAACTAGGTTCTCAGAAGTAATGTCTTCAAAATCTTCAGAACTTGATCAACAAAATCTTGTCGTTAGATTCTTTAGAGTTAGGTCCTCAGAAGCAAACATTTAGAAGACCTCCAAAGATTATTTACTAAATCATTATCATAAGCTCTAGTATGGACATTCTTTTGAACCGTTGCATCAAAAACATTCCAGAATCATGACTTGAAATTGTAACACCATATGTTTTTTTTCTAGAGTGTTGAGTTTAGAGTCTGATAATGTCACACGTCTTTCCTTCATAGTCAGAACCTGTTTTAGCAAAAGATACACACTTGACAAAAAAAATTTGAGTATAGAATTGTTTTCGAGAATTACATATGAAGTTATCATCAAAATTTAAGGCTAGATGCAAAACCAAAACTTGTTCTTAAAATTTATGGGTTTCCATCCATTTCTGCATAGTGAAGCATGACCACGTTCTTAGTTGGAAACTCTACTCAGTTTCAAATCCCAATGCGCGGTTGCAATGGATCAATGAGGATGTCCATTTCAAATTCCACTGAAAACTCTAAAAGGAATATTGAAAATGTGCAAATTCGAGGGTAATGTTTAATGTTGATTGTTCACTTGTTAATGGTAATATTTTTTTTGTTAAATTTTTATTATTTATCTGATTTTTTTTATTGTCCAACATTCGTAGGCATTATTAAGTTGTAAGTTGTAAGTTGTTCATATGGGATGATGAACTTGAACGTAACATTTCAAGTGAACCCATAAATTCAAGCAGTTGCAATTGCTCAGAGGTTGTAAAGAATTTAGGCTGCATTATTAAAGAGCTTGGTTCTAGGAAAAACGACAAGCTGAAGATGAAGATAGAAAGTGAAAGGAAAAAAGCCAACTTGTTTAAGTTTTTGTTAATTGTTTCATGTAGTTTTTTCATTGCTTACCATAAATGGTGTTATATGTCATTTTAATGATTCATGTAACTTTTTTGTTTTCGTCCCTATAAATTTGTGATTTTTGTTTTTGTTTTTCATCCCTGTATATTAATGAACTAAAACCAATATTTGAACAAACTAATAATGTATTACACAACCATATATAATATATTTATTCTAAAAGGCATATGAACTTGTCACCAGATACAACTTTATCTTATGTCTCAAAATACAAACAAAAATACATCATAACTAAATCAATAGGATGATTCATGTCTACAAAGCCAAAAGGCATAACAAAGTCTCAAAAATACATCATAACTAAATCATAATCATATTTTACTAATAAATGAAATTGATGATACATTTGAATGGAGTTAAATTGGACGTCAGAAATGTATGAAGAAACTTAAATAAGAAGTGTCAAACACCTTCCAAGTATCCAAAATCAAAGTTAGACATTTGCAACCATATACCATCTTATCAAAAAATTGTTAGTAATATAATATAAAAAATATGTAATCACATGTTCAAAATAATACTGAAAGTGTTTGATGAAACCACTAAAGCAACTTTGACATTGTTTGATCAAGAGGCACATAATCTACTCAATACAATAGCTCAAATGCTCTTGCAACAACAAGCTCGGACGTCTATACCATCAATGTTACAAAATCTCTATCATCGTACTCTTATCTTTGAAATAAAGTTGTCTGCAAAAAACTTAAAAGAAGGATTACAAATCTACACAGTATCACAAACTTTTGTACCAACCGCTATTCTACAAGAACCAATTATGAAAATTCATATTAAACATGTAATTAAATTTGTACTACAATCATACAAATATACTACTAACTTTGTAAATACTAACAATATACTTATTACATATAGGAGTTCATACCACCACAAATGATTCAAAATAAAGAAGAAGAAGGAGAAGAAGGAGAAGAAGGAGAAGAAATGATGATGACAACAACAATGGTAAACCATACAGAAAAATAAAAACAAAACCTCGAGTGCTAATTAGAGGCTAATCATAACATCATCAGATGATGAAATGCATATCAAAGAAAATTCAAAAAATAAAAGTAACAATAATGAACTTCAAATATTATCCTCTGACGACGAGTCACTTCTCATACACAAATTAGAGCTTCAAAAGTCCATCAAAGAAAAACAAAGGAATAACAAAGCTTAATCTAAAAAAAAAAAAAACCAAAAACCATAAAAATTGATTTCAATTTTGAAGACTTCTTTCATGTTTTAACATTTAATTTTATGTCTCACACCTTGCATTTCAATTGTCTATAAATATATTACTTTTCAATTTAACTTAGACTATTTTCTTTTGTTATGCTAATTTTATTATCTATATTATAGGATTTTTATAATAAAAAATATCTATCATAAATGAAATCTTATTTTATTTCAAAAATTTTAATTACTTGGACAATCTTCTTTACCAACCGCGCATCGCGCGGATTCTATTCTAGTTATAATATAAACTGGTTCAAATTGTAACGTAGCGTGACATTTAAAGAGCTGTTATGGAACTAGCTCTATTAAATTTTTATTATAGAATCAATTAAACTGGTCTGGCATTGTTTCTGCATATGAATGCACTATGTTTAAAAAATTGTGAATGGTTGATTACATGTTTTGTCAAGATTACATGACTTTGTTCTTACATAAATATAAAGATACTACAACGATACATCAAGTTTTAAATGTAAAAGAAAAAGCATTAAGAACATGAAAAGATTGGTGATGATGACAGTCATAAATATGATTGTATTGTTTTATTAGTATTGATTTGATATAGTGATCTACAAACTGAAATTGCGTGTAGTTACCACTATAGGGCTTCTCACCACATGCTTCCCATCCTCCCAAGTGAGGTACCCAAAAACTACTTCATCATTTTGTGAAACTATTGAGCCTTCAATCTTCAATTTGAAGCTTATCTTCTCGTTCTTCTTATTGAATACCAACTTATTTGGGATAACACTTGTGTTGAACCCTTTAATTGGTGTAAAGTTAGCAACATAAGTTGTTTGTCCTTCACCAACATTGGTAACTGTTCTGTAAAACTGTTGTATTATCCTTGAAGTAGAATTTTTACTATTGCTAAAAGCAATAAAAGAAGGATAATTGAGATCCAACGAAAGTTTAGAACAATTATTAGAAGTGGATCTTGTAATGACAGCGATGTTTTTTTGCGTGTAGTTAAGTGCACAAAGAAGATTAACATAATCTTGTACACCAACATCATAAACAAGACCAGGATCAATTGCTCTATTAGGATCAACATGACCGGCACCCAATGCTAATGGAGTTGAAACTTTATTATTTCCAATGTCTTTGATGTGTTCTTTAGTATTATCCAAAATGTATGAGGTTGTCATAATTGCAGACCGAATAGCCGCGGGACTCCAATCATTATGTGCTCCTTTTAAAAGTGCTCCTACACCAGCAACATGAGGACATGCCATAGATGTTCCACTTAAAATATTGAACTTGTTGAAGAGATCACGATCCTCGAAAGTAGTCACAGGGAGATTTGTAGGCCATGACGCTAAGATTTGACTACCGGGAGCAGTGATGTCAGGTTTCAACACATATGGACAACTCTTCGACGGCCCTCTTGAACTATAAGAATCAACCATAGGCGATGGTTTAACACCAAGACCTGTTGTCTTGAAAGAGACGCTTGCTGTAGAACTTTTCGAGTTAGGGCTCTTTACGTAAGAGTGTACGATTTTTCCATTTATTGGATTAATAATGATAGATGGAATTATATTGTCAAACTCATTTATGTCTGGGATATTTGATATGAAAACACCTGCAACAACTTTTGCTGTAACCATATTATGGAGAGTTTCATTCTTCTCTTCACAAACTACAATATTGCTCTTCACTTTGTTTAATTTTGTAATATTGTCACACGAACCCATAAAAACAATGAATTGGTAGCAGTAAAATTTCCCGGATACAAAGACAAACCAGTGAGTGAGACTCCGTTACCAAGTGTGAGAATTCCGCGAAATTCACGATCTAAAGTACCAGCAGCAACGGTTGTCACCCAAGGTGCATCATTCTGAATAGATTGAAACAAAGGTCCTTCATTACCCGCTGATAGAGAAACAAAAATACCTTTTTCAATGGCTGCAAATGTGGCTATTGCAAGAGTATCTTCGTAAAAGGGTGCTTCTCCATGCCCATTGATATTGAAAGAACATCGACACCGTCTGATATAGCAGCATCAATTGCTGCCATCATATCAGATGGTGCCGCAAATCCATGTCCCTCTGTTGTTTTGTAGATGGCTACTCTAGACATTGAAGCTATTCCTCTTGCTGTTCCATTTGCATAACCAAAGAAAGATGCGCCATCAACTTTGGTTCCAGCTACGGTTGATGAAGTATGGGTTCCATGACCTTCAGTGTCACGTGAGTCGTTAAGTGGTTGTACTAAGGTTGGAATATTTTGCTAAGAACCCTTTGTTGAAGAATCTAGCTCCAATGAGTTTCTTGTTGCACAAAGATGAATGGTCGGAATTACCAAATTGACATAATTTCCCTTTCCACTTAGAGGGTATTTCAGTCATTCCATCCTCTTTGAAACTTTCCCTTTCTGGCCAAACACCAGTGTCAATTACACCAACAATGAAATTTGTACTGCTAGAGATCTGCATTTGTGATGGCTAGTCCCTTGAAAATAGGCGTTCAATAGTCCACTATTGACTAGGTGGGCAACAAGGCTTTCCAAGGAAATCATAGGCCCATAAGGCCTTTATAAATATGTCTCCCTTCAAGGAGAGGGAAGAGAGACTCTAAGTCATAAACATTCTCTATAACTTCAAGAGCATCATGCTCATTACATTCTTAACTCATACAACAGACTTAACCGCCCACCATTAACAGAGTCACTCACCTCACGTGACCTGATCCACCAGACTACCTCTAAATACCACCAACATGACCTCTCTCTATTATGAGCAAGTCTTCACTAGAAAAACATGTTATAAACATACTAAGACATCTAAGTGCATAGATGATGATCGATAGCGGATAACTTATAGTAGATAAGTGATAACTTATAGTTGATAACAAGTAGCTGATAAGTTAATTAAACTGTTTGATAAATTAACAGTTTCAATAGCTGATAAATGTATATTAAGCATAAAACTGAAAGAAAAAAAAAGATGACAAGCTAAAAAAAATTGAAATATTAAGCATAAAACTGAAAAGAAAAAAAAAGATGACAAGCTAAAAGCTATAACTTAAAAGCTATTTCAAATAACTTTTAAAAAAAGTCATAAACTAGTAAAAATAATTTCAATATACCTTTTAGTCTCAATAACTTAACCTCAGAGCTCATTTTAGTCTCTAACTTAAAAATATTTTTATTGGTCATTTAACTCTTCAAAACGTATAATACTAACAATTTTCTTCTAATTAAAAATGAATTTAGCGATCAACTATTGAATTTTTCGTTGCTAATAAAACGAATAGTAGGGATAGCAATGGCCAGGGTTTGAACAAGATACTATAGTACCCATCTCCAAACCCTCAGTTAAAAAAAATTCTCGTACTTGAGCCATTACCTGTGTGGGCATCAACGCTTTTACCTGTATCTTATGGGTACTTAAGTACCCGTACTCATACTCGTTTATCTACATTTCTGATAAAAAGTGATTGATAAGTTATGATTTATCATGTAATTTTGAACATTTAAAAAAATTGAGGATGTTATTATTGAGTTAAGAAATAAACAAACATTTATGTTAGAATGTGTAGAAGTTTAATAGTGATCTATTTAATAAAATTGTTAGATTAACCTATGTACATAATAATGAAAATAAAAATATATAAATATATATCGTGTGGGTATGGGGCGCGTGTTAGATGTCAAACTTTGCTTATTATCTCTATCAAATGTTGTCATCTTTCATTCTTTTTGTAGGGGAAAGTGATTAGAATCACTCATGTTTTAGATGATATGCTTCATTGTTGGAAAATGCCTTGGTTGCTTTAATTTGTGTGTTATTGTGTAGGAATTAGGCACAAAACAAGTGAATAGTAAGACACAAGAAATTGGGCAAGGAAACCAAGACAACAGAAAAACATCATAAAACTCGTCATGTGAAGCTCCTAGCGAAGCTTACTAGAAAACTTCACAAAGCTCGCTAGGCAAAGGAGGTAGCGAATAACTCGCTAGGCGAAGTGGTAGAGAAGCTCTAGCGAACACTCCAAGACTTGAGGCAGTAACTTTTTGGACAAGAATTCGCTGTGCAAAGTGTGTAGCGAAGCCTTCGCAGTGTGAAGGATTGCTCGCACAGCGAACATGTGTAAAAGTCTCAAAGCCAGTTTAACTGTTCAGAGGCACCTCAGGTGACTAATTTGATGTTCGCTAGGGGAAGGATCTGTTCGCAGTGCGAACATGACAGATTCTGAATGTACTATATAAGTACTTTTATTGCTTTTTAGGTTAGTATGTAATATTTTCTACATCAGAACTTATCTCTCTTCATTTTTCAAGTTTATTTTAGAGAGAGAAATACAAAATCCTAAGAGGGAGGAGGTAAGATCTTTGATCTCTTGTTGGGGTTTGGATGTAATTATTTGATACCTTATGTATTTCATCTAATATATGTTTGTGAACTAGTTTTGATTCTCTATTGATTGATTATCTTTGATTGCTTGTTTGTGGGTCTTGACAAAACCTTTTCACATATTTGATATAAGATTTTCATCTATCAATGAAAAAACTTTTGACATGGTTTTGTAAGTTGATATTCATTGTATC